TAATCTTATTTGCTTCCCGTATATTTGACTCACTTTCACACGGCCAATCGAACAACTGTCATTTTTTTATACCGTGCAACACAACACAACAAATGCAGGTGTGATAACTACAGGTGAGAGGTAATATATTTATATAAATTAAGTTGTTTAAATGGCATAATATCTAGTTGGTTGAAAATGGTTTTCAAACAAAAAATCTATATTTTTTAATATACACCTACATACGTTTTATCAATTTTAGCTCATTGGGAAGTTAAGGAGAATATCAAAAAGGCCTGAAGCAGTGCTGGTCATTATGCAGAGATCAAATAGCGGGCAGGAGCATCTGGTGGCCGTGGGGTCGAATCCCAATTGATACCAATAATGTTCCTTGGTTTGTCAGCACTAATAATACTTAAATAAATCTGTTACTTTTGAGATTTCTTTGGATTATTGAAAGGGTTTTGTAGTTTTTATTTCGACCTGTGTAACCTTGACATTTGAAGGTGACGCGCTGTGATATAAGGGTTCATAGTACGCACGTTGTATTCAATCAGCAGGAGTTTTGTGTGGGATCTTATTTGAGAGTCTGGCCAAACTCACTCACTCAAAGAACAACTCTGGCACTGAACCACATGATATGCGTCCGAGAGAATGAACATGGAGTAGCCTGTGCTTGTAGACAATGCACATGAACTGCACCTTCTTATAAAAGCCTCTACATAGTTAGGGGTTTGCTCAGAATCGAAGGTTTTCATTCATGTACGCTTCTTGCAAGTGCATTTGTCACCCAAAGGCCACATGGGAAAGACACACAAGCGGTCTGTTGATTTTCCATTTCTGAAAAATAGCAGATAATCATGGATTAATTTCTCTTTCTCTGGTGGATGTTATTTGCAAATGTTAAAAATCCATGATAATTTCCTGTCATATATGATTGAAAAGTACCACATTGTCGATTTCGCCGCTTTAAACAGTTTTCCAGCCATTTCATGGCGTGTCAGCTTAATGTGGGGGGATAGGCCAAAGTGATGCAGGTTTTCAGGTGTACCAATTAGGTGAAAAGCACAAGCAGGGGTATGGTTCTGACCAACCTGGAAACCTGGGCGACCCGGAATTCGAACCCACAATCATCGGTTTCAGACGAAACACTACACAGACAGAGAATTACGACGCATTACACGACTGCCCCCACCCGCTACACACGCCCCCCCCCCCCCCCCCCCCCCCCCTTCGTTTAGAGAAGGAAAAAATACCTACCCCCACCTAACCACAAAACTTGCAAATATACCATGTAGGCTGACGTAAAAACAGAATTCTACACTTTTCTGTTACGTAAATTCCAAGGCTGATTCTATCTCTTTAAATCAAGTATACACCATCAGCCTCAGCATCAACCCGGTAATCAAGAAGATCCTTTAAAACTCCTTTAATCAAACGACCACCATAATTATCTTCATAATTGATTTCATCAAAGCTATACATAATTTCACACGCATACCTGTTAAATTAACTCAAACTAAGCATACATGTATGTGGTATGATATAAACATCAACAAGACTCGAGTCAAGGCACTGTTCAATGGCATAAGGATAGAATCTAGTACACACACTGTGCTACAAACACCAGATATAAGAAAGTATGTGCATACTTTGATGTAGTACATCAGCAGCCGACTACGCCATCGCTGGATGAAGGATCACACTTCAATGTGCAACCATAACGCTTGTGGTTAAGTATCTACGTATTTTATGCTCCAGTGGAACATATGCATAATCGTTTGCACGCAGCTTACGTAATACTGCAATAATGTGTGTACACAAACACCGTGCTTCTCAGGAAGTTATGCAATCGAAGAACGCCATCCATGTATTTCGTTTACCTATATTTACAAGAGAACCACGTTGGATTGAAAAACTCCTCTAAATGACGTTAGATTCTGTTAAATTCCGTTTTGACCAAACTATACTTTTAATTACTTTACATCTGTGTACCCGTGAACATCCAAGGTAGAAGAGGTCTTCAGCAACCCATATGCATGCTTGCCGTAAATGGCGTCTATGCTTGTCGTATGGGGCGACTAACGGGATCGGGTGGTCAGGCTCGCTGACTTGGTTGATGAATGTCACCGTATCCTAATTGCGTGGATCGATGCTCATGATGTCAATCACTGGATTGTCTGGTCCAGACTCCATTATTTACATACCCCCGTCATATAGCTGGAATATTACTGAGTACGGCGTTAAACGACAAACAAACAAATCTTTTCACCGAACTTGACTTTACTCTTTACTCATTCGCTTTTCAGGAATATTTACTTAAGAACCGTAATATTCGAACAGTTCATCATGATAAAGTAAAAATGAAGATAATTTCTTTGCTTCTGTTGTACTTCCCATTCATCACATCTTTCTGCGGACTAGGCACTGAGGGGAGTGCAGTTTACAAAAGTCCACGCTAGAAATCTGTTTTCTAAACACGGGGGAGCTGTACAGACATGCTACATATGTGTCTCACGCAGTAATAATATCGTTAACGTCTTCGCTCATTCATATATAAACATTATTTTTTTCATGGTGCATAACTTTAACTTGAATGAAGCAGATACGTACCAGATACTTCTGCAAACTTCTATGTTATATTATATTGGCAATCCTGTTAACGACTTATCAATTTCTATTTTTATTATGCAGATATATAAATATTTGCAAACCCTGTCATTTCCTTTTATCACCAAATTGATCTTATTCACCAGCAATGTCTTCAGGAAATTGTAGCTTAATCATTTTCGAGCTACCGCGTAGTTGGAATTTTGTTGAAAAAAATTCTCACCGAAAATAAATACGTGATAAACAAAAAAAAATGTTTTCTTCAGTTAGTATCCTTTCATGTATGTTAAGGTTGGTTGGTTGGTTGGTTGGTTGGTTGGTATTTTAACGCCGCACTCAGCAATATTCCAGCTATATAACGGCGGTCTGTAAATAATCGAGTCTGGACCAGACAATCCAGTGATTGATATCATGAGCATCGATCCACGCAATTGGGATCGATGACATGTATCAACAAAGTCAGCGAGCCTGACCACCCGATCCCGTTAGTCGCCTTTTACGACAAGCATAGTCATATTTTACGGCAAGCATGGGTTGCTGAAGACCTATTTTACCCCGGAATCTTCACGGGTCGTATGTTAAGGCTGTGGTGGTATTGGCCCTGTTAACAAGACCTTATGTACAAGATGACATTCAAAAGCTGGAATTACACCGACCTCGTTCTTTAGCAGGGTGTACGCGAGTCTAATCCCGTTAGGGTCGCTGATCGTGGGATCATCTAAAGGTTCCCACTGGATCATTTAAAGTCATTTATTTGTGAACAGATAAAAACCAGCTATATTCAAATCATCATGTAACGAAAAAGGATAAATAACGTTCGTATTTAATAACAGGTCAAAAGATTATTCGTTATATGCAGGCATTCGCTAAATACGAGTTCGATATACCCAAAGTTGAATTTTGGCAGTATTCATCTGTGTACTCCCAACATGATTAAAACGTCTGAGAATCATTCTCGGTAACCCCTGATATGATATGCAGGACTACTGCTATTTCATGCATCGTGGTGCTACACAACATGAAGGAATTTTATCAACGCCAAACTGGGTGAATATTATCATATTTATAGTTCATTGTAAGTACTTATGATAATTATTACTGTATCAGGTGAATCTACATATGCCATTAGTTCTTGGTGACCTTACTAGTTTGTTGGTCGTCACATGAATGAGATGAATATCCTTCACAACTGTCATTATCAGAGGGAAGTCAGTTCTAGTTATTGATTGATAGATTTAGCACGACCCCGGTTTTGTGTTAATGCAACAGTTGTTGATGTGCAAGCAGCTTTTAATTACTGCAGAACCTCAGTAGGTTAGGATGTAGCGTTACGATTAATACGCAGCGTTTGAGGTGGATAAACAAATGTAACGCTGCTTCATTTATTATTATGTACTGGGGTCTTTTGAAGCGTATTTGTCACATGTGATTCAATAACAAAGGATTCATATTGAATTCATGGCTAACCAAGTGTGTCTGGAACGCAGGTTCAGGGGGTGTATTAGAATGAATACGGTTTACAGCTTTGCTGGAAACATCTGAGATGTCACCTAGTTAATTAGTGCCACGCCGATTGACAGAAACATGTTACCAGCAGTAGGATACGTATGTCGGTCTGGCGGGAAACACTTTAACTCTGCGACGTATAGCCTGCGGTGATCTGAAATATATTATACACATCACCATCGTCAAGATGGTAACGGCAAAAACACATTGACCTAAAATACTAGGTCTCACCAAAACATTGTCCTACAACAGCTCAGCCGCACCCAATTGTCCTACGAGAGAAAGGGGTGGCAATCGTCCTTGGCGCCGCACTTTGTTGTGCAGAGTTGCGTCCCATGGGCACACCTGAAACCTATTATTGTAGGTTCGAGTCCCGGTTCCCCCCACTTTAAGCCGACAGTGCCGTTCAAAGCGGCGTTAAACCCTACTCACTCACTTACAATGTTCTACATTATCCCAGTCACATCACATTACCTTACAATATATCAAACCACAACGGTAGCAGTGCGACCCAACTCGACCCGTAGGGGTACAGTGACACACAAGCACAACCAGATCAAGGCTGCAAGTTTAAACGAATCGTTATCAGATGACCAAACATATGTTTGTTGCAGCCAGTGGTCACGATCAATGATTTCGACTAATCGTACTTAAGTGTTTTAGTAAAAGGAAAAAAAGGAAAAAACTTGAAACAATGCAGTGCCGTGAAAGCACGTGGGTTCATATCCACCAGTTAGTTTGTCACTGTAAACTGAAACCATGTGCTGCATACAAGCAATCCGACTGACACAATTACTTCCACACAAAATGATAGCAACGTGATAGTCGTGTATTTAAATGAGACAGTACATGCGATCACGTTACTCATCATGAAATATGCCAGCCAGTAGTCGAGGCAACACGTGCTCATTATGATGAATATTCAAATTTGTGACTGTTCATCTGTGGTCACCGAGCTGTTGTTCCAGATGGAATAGGTGACACCAACAACGGCACGAGTACATGTCAAGTCCATTGCAGTTTGATAGACATTTACAACAAGTGATTGGATATACATGTGGGTCGATTTCAAAACAATATGGCAGCGTATGATGAAGCATTTGCAAAATCTGGCCAAATCCCTGGATTAGAAATATGGAGGATCGAGGTGGGCATTTAGTTTTTCATATATGATCATTTTGCATTTGATAATGCGTAATTTATACACTATTGATCTGGTGTGATAATCCCGATGAATCAGGTATCGATTACCTGATGTTATAGGTGCAGTTCAATCACGACCGTGAAATCAGAGACGGATTTACAGGGTGCCGGCGACGTCATACTTCGGGAATATCCTGATACTCCTTAAGGGTTAATCCGATGCTTTTTAAATGTACCCCAGTTGTATAACCGTGCTCCTCAATGCAGATGCACGTGTTGATCTAACTGGTTGTGATCCACACGCCTACATAAATCAATATACAGTTGTGAATCATAGTCACATTTCTCATGCATCCATATAGCTATTTATATGTGATAAACTGTATGTACTTTGGTGAGGAACTCGTTACAAAGAAAACACTCTTCGCTATTGTTGTTTCCATCAAAGTATTAACACGAATAATATAAGTTGACCTGTAAATACGGATTCTCTGAATTGAAACAGACCTTCCACGTTCCACATTATAACGGGGCGATGGCTGTAGGGCATATCATGTGAAAAACATATGTTATATTATTAGTGATAGAGAAAACGCAGATTTTTCAATATTACGATAACCCGCTCACAAAATAATTTGCTTACTTTGCAAAAAAGAATATGTTGAATGGATACGAATTCGAAAAAACTCAGCATTGAAAACTGTCATTAATACCACGTGCGTGTTTTGTGAGTTTAGCCACACCGGCTTGTGTAGTGAATTCTATACCTAACAATATTGAGGCAAATATATATTGTATTGATTCATACAATTTATTATAGGCTGTTAAACATGTATACCATCTTTCAGTAGTGTACATTATCTGGATGTGACGTGTAGGAATAAACTATAGGCCATGGGCCAGAGGGGTGTGATGCCTGCTAAACATCACGTAGAATATACACTGCATTTCACTTGTCGCATATTGATGCTGAGTCTGATGATGGTGTCAAGGGGAAGACGTCTGGGCACGTCGAGGACGACCCTGGTCGAAGTCACGGCGGGTGTTAGCGTTTCGCGTCGTTCTCGGTTTTCGTGCATTGACGACGGAGCAACGTGGTCGTTATGGAGGGAAAGCCCGACGTCTCACCTTTCATGGCATACATGACACTAGAGGGTGTCCCTCGTTAACCTGTCCCTAGAGCCATCCGAAGTTAGGCTGAAGGCAGACGCGGATTGACCCAACTTATGCGGGACGTACAGAATGTGTCGTGTGTGCGCATATCGCATATCAAAATGTAGCCTGGGAGAAGACCTACTGTGACGGGAAAAACATTGAAGACATCAATTGTAGCGAGTTAGTTGTAATTTGACTCCCGTTTCCTTCAAACGGGTGAAGTTCAGCACCACTCCGCCAAAAGCAAGTTCGAACAGCAAACCTCTTTACTACTGATGTACAAACCCAGTGGGTCAAAAGCACACTGGGTTCAAAGTTACGCTGCACAATAAAACAGAAAAGGCAGTGTCTATTTCTGCAATTGTTTTCCCTACTACAGTAAACTACGGCTATAACGAACTCAAAGGGACTACCGATTTTAGTTCGTTATAACCGTAATTCGTTATAAGCATATATACAGCATAACTACAGCATATAGTCGGGATTAAAAGGTTAGTTCGTTATATCCGTTAGTTCGTTATAACCGTGTTCGTTATAACCGTAGTTGACTGTACTGTGTTTCACCACTTTTGCCTTCCCCTTATATCTACCTTTTCCCTTTACCCTCCCTTCCTCTAACACATGTACACTCGTGCGAAAAACTTAAGTGACGGTTTATCGCCTTCATGATGTTAGCGTTGTTGCTGTGGCTTAATCTGTCTCCCAAACCCAGCAAAATATTTTAACAAAGAGTCCAACTCAAGTCTAGAATAACTTGGTAAATCTAGACTGCCTCAGCTCTAGGATTGTTCTTGGCTGCATTTGGATTATATTTCATATTTAGAAGATATAGATTTTAAGATATGAGAACTTTATTCCTGGGACCAAGTATCAGTCAAGCTGAAGCTGAGTTAGCGGCGAGTGTCATGGTGTGTCATGGCCCTGGGACAGGTTCCTCGACGTTGTCACCACCAGGACTGTTTAACCAACGACTGGCAGTACTAATTACGTCTTTAAGAACAACACGAGCTTTTGGAACATCCGATGGTGATTTCTTGGCATAATAATTCTCTTGTGGTTATGTGAACCAACTTCATCCAGGCAACAACAGAAGGTCTTTGGCCATGGCGATGTTTCATAATACCTCCAGACTGACCACCAGACCTCCTCCATCACGAGACCAATATCACGAAACGTATCTTAAATGTTTATTCCAACCATGTAAACTACATGTATTAGGAAAATGTAATTTCCCTATATGTAAGAAAATAATCCAGAGACACTTCGGTGGGTGGGTGAGTTCGGTGTTACGCCGCTTTTAGCAATATTCCAGCAATATCACGGCGGGGGACACCAGATATGGGCTTCACACATTGTACCCATGTCGGGACTCGAACCCGGGTCTTCGGCGTATCGAGCTAACGCTTTAACCACTAGGCTACCCGACCGCCCCAGAGACTTCGATATGTGTCACTCACAGTTGAGCGAATCTTTGTAAGAGTGTCTGCCAAATATTCATGAAACCCCAGAAGGGTCGTTTCATCTTTATAAACATATCATATACACCTGGTTATTTTGGGGGTATTTGTATGTGGTACTTTTTCAAAGGCACCCATCAGACACACCCAGACGTAAGTGATGCCTCATGAGGTCAAAACTTTCGGTGTCGTCATATACTCATTAATATCAGTACGAAAAAGTCACATCTATACAAAAACATAAATCTTATCAATACTAATCCGATTGAATACAGGTACAATACTAACACACATGAGTCCGAAAGAGGAACGGGATATTGCTAAATCAGAAGGCGACCTCTTAAACACTTACGAGAAGAAAGAAATGAGTAAGTTCCTTCACTACTCATAATCATACTCGTATAACGCGGCTGTTACATTGCCAGAACCTCATTTTCAAGGGCTTTCGAGCGGACTGTAAATATATTTTCAGATCATGGATATAGGTGAGGTGAAATGGGGTTTAACGTCGCGACGTGCATGCACGTGTATGTGTGTGTGTGTTGGGGGGGGGCTGCTTGTAATAGTCAGGACTAATGCCGATTTATAGTGCTAACACACTGAGATACCATGCCGCACATGAATACCCCACTCAGACACAGTATACTGACTCCGAGCCGACCAGTCCTTGTTTTAGCCCCTTAATACCGAGCGCCAGACAGGGTAACAACAAGTGCCATCTTTTAACGTCTTTTGGTATGACGCGGCTGGGGATCGAACACCGGTCCTTCCACTCTCCGGGCGGACGCTGGGCTATTAGACCACAGAGGCGGTCTTCATGGCTATAGGAGCTATAATACACTCTCTCAAAAAGGAAACGCAACACCTATATTTTCAAGATGTTTATCTCAATATTCAAGTTATTATAACACATTTATTATTGAAGACAACAACATGAAATTTGGCATGGTGGCAGTACAGTTATGCAAGTTTAAGTTCAGGCTTCGACAGTTCTCTCACTAAGAATGACTTGACGCAAGGGGGCGTCTTTCTCAGTACCTCGTATGAGCGCCACGAGCTGCGATCACAGCATTACACCTCCTTGGAACAGAACGGATTAGACGCCGGATTCTTTCCTGAGGGATTGCTCTCCACTCCTCCTGCAGTGCAACGGCTAGTGCATCCAACGTCTCGGGCGGCGGTGTACGTGCACGTACTCGTCGATCCAGATAATCCCAAAGATGTTCGATTGGGTTGATGTCTGGTGATCGGGAGGGCCATGGTAACACGTTGACGTTAGAATTCTGGAGAAAATTCACTGTTACATGAACAGTGTGCGGCTGGGCGTTGTCGTGTTGATAGAGCCCCCTCTGTTGGTCGATAATCGGCAGAAGATGAGGCTGTCAAACGTCATTGATATAGCGCTGGGCTGTCAAATTGCCACAAATGATCACCAAGTCTGATCTTTGGTTGTAAGACATGGCTCCCCACACCATGACGCTCCCTCCACCAAATCTGTCGACCTGTCGAACACATTTCGGGGCAAAACGTTAGTTTCCTCTTCTATATACACGCTGTCTTCCGCCACGGCGTTGTAAGCGAAAACGTGATTCGTCACTAAACCAGACGCGCCTCCAGTTTCTGAGGGTCCATATCCGAACGTTGGTGCACCACCTGAGTCGTTGGCGTCGATGTTCGTGGCGTAAAACAGGTCCAATAAGTGGTCTTCTTGCACGTAGACCGGCCTCTCGTAGACGGTTCCTAATTGTTTGTGCGGACACTCTTCTCAAACCTGGCACCTATGTTGCAGTGACGGTAGGTGTGGCTAGCCGATTACGTAGGTAGGTGACCCGGATGAATCGATCCTGAGGTGGTGTGGTAACACTTGGCCTACCACTTCTGGGGCGATCTTCAGTTGCATGAAACTGGGTGTATTGGCTCCAAAGTAGGGAATCGTTGTTTTATGAATATTGAGGTGCCAGGCAACGTTTCCAAAGCTTTGTCCGGCCTCAATACGACAAATTGCGATATTTCGATCTGCAGCACTCAACCGTGGCATATTCGACCTTGTCTTTCGGTGAAAATGATAGAGTGAATTGCTAATCAACACGTGCTTTTATAAACCCATACTTATACTGCTCTTTCCATGAATTGCACGTGCATGAGGCTTTTGGCATGGGCCACGTGAAAATTTTGCTCACTATGATAAAAGTAACAATAAAATGCCCTTGTGCACGAAAATTAATGTGTTTGGGCGCTTACGTTAATAAACAGTGTACATGGTATTCGTGCATATAAGGAAAACCGTATTTACAATCAACATTTTTCTTTTTGGGGCTTTCTAACATTTTCAGACTGGGTTGCGTTTCTTTTTTGAGAGAGTGTATCTGTAATACCTGAACATCAAGTTCCG